AACGGCCGTCCAGTGCTTACAGGTATCTATTAGTGACCTAACCTGTTTGTATTGAAAATAGATATTTCAAGATTATGTGTACATATTTCTTAGGTCTTCTGCAAATATCTGCGTTCCATTTAGTCATGACTTCTTCGTACGTTTTACTACTATCAATCAAAGGTGGAATTATAATTCAGGCTGATAAATATAATTGAAACATTCGATATTCAATATTCAAAAAAATGCGACACAAACAGTGAACATTGATCACTTCGTTATTTAATTTCTTTCTTTCTTTTTTAAAACTTGCTTTTCCCGTTTGTTTTTTTTTCTTTTTAAAGCAAAATCTACAACAGCAAATTACAAATTTAACACAAACAGTACAAAATGCCACCAATGAATCAGAACGTTATCAAAGAGAATTTAAACAAGCTAGTTCACGTGTTCAACAACTGAGTCGTCAATTACAAGAAACACAATCGAATTGTGATTCAATTGCTAGACAAAGAGATAATTTAAGAGATCAATTGGATCAAGTAAGTTGAATATTGAGTTTTTGTCATTAGTGAATTAATCCGTTTGTTTGTTGTGTGTGACGGATTTGCTTACTTATGCCTGTTACTCACGATGGAGCATAGGCCACCGACCAGTTTTCTGCGACCAACTCTGTCCTGAATTTCCCTTTCCAGTTCTTTCCAATTTTTGTTGATTCTTCCCATGTCTTTCTCGATTTCTCGGCGTAATATGTTCCTTGGCCTTCCTCTTTTCCTTTTGCATTGAGGGCTCCACGTGAGGGCTTGTCTCGTGACGCAGTTCGGTGCTTTTCGTAGTGTGTGTCCTATCCACTTGCACCGCTTCTTCCTGATTTCCTCCTTCATTGGAATCTGGATTTTTCTCTCTCACAGTAGGCTGTTGTTGATGGTATTCGGCTAGCGAATCCGAAGTATTTTGTCTAGACAACTGTGAATGAATACTTGAATCTTCTGGATGATGGCTCTTTTAGTTCTCCAAGTTTCCGCCTCATACAGTAGAACTGTCTTGACATTTGTGTGGGAAAATTCTGATTTTGGTGTTGATTCATATTTGTTTGAAGTTCCAAATGTTGTTCAACTTTAGAAATGCCACCCTTTCTTTGCCGACCCGCGCACTCATATCTGTATCGGATCCACCTTGAATGCCGTTAATGCTGCTCAGATATGTACAGGTTTCCTTCAAGGCTTGTCCATCAAGTGTGATTTGGTTGGCGCATGTTGTGTTGTATCGCCGAATCTTGCTGTTCCCTTCATGTATGTTCAGACCTGCTGCTGCTACTGAGGCTGCTGTCACACTGTCTGTCTTCTCTTGCGATTCATTTAGAACTGATTTTCAGTTAAATATCTCTATAATCTTGGTTTTCATTTAATCTTTCTATAAGACGAGGAATACATGTTCCTAATGTCACAGTTAAAGAATTTACTACTACTAAGTATGAGACTGGTAATTATTCATTTAAAGTGTAGCATTGTCTACACTGATCGATCTTAAATGCCCTGAGTTCTAACTCCAATTAGGGCGAACGATTAAAATATTCCGTGTTAAATGAATCTTCCATTCAATTCCCAAGTATTACAGTTAGGTTAACTCCGTTTCTCCGATGATAGTAATGAAAAGCCATATACGAATTCATTGCATGAGTTTATTTCATGTGGACGATGGCTCAAACTGCTATGAGGATAAGAAGCGAACAATCTTAGCAAAGTGGAGAAGGCGAGCGAGCCAACTTCATTATGATGAAATATGACTAAGCCTTAATAGTCAAACAGAAAGATAAGCCAACGATGTGATGAATACGGCTAAGGATATACACACGTACATTGGGCTTCATCAACTTAAGGGTATCTTCAATCAATGGTCACATTCAAATTAATCCTCAGAATTATTTAACATAAAAATAATGACTACTGATAGTAATTTGAGTAGTATAATCTGATTCATAGTAAGTTTTCGCATAAACAAAATGTACAAAATCATCATCATGTTATTCTTTTTTTTTAAATTCTTATTTCAATCAAACAGTTAAAACGTAGCATGGGACGTAGTGGTGGTGGTTCAAGTACAATGACAAATCTTTTCGGACTAAGTAGTTCAACTGGCGGTGGATTACGTCCAGCATCTGCTGGTCCTGGCAGTTATGAAAATGTTCCATTGTATGGTTCTACAACTGGAACTACACATTTATCAAGAGAAATGGATCGTTTACATAGAGAATGTGAAAATCTACAAAATCAATTGAGAACAAGTCAAGAATCAGAACAAGAAGCTCGTAATTCAATGGATCAGTTGAAAAATGATATTAAAAATCTTACTCAGGAGACAGAACAACTGAAAGAGCAAATGAAAGAATTAGAGCAACAAAAATCTGAATGTAATAATGAATTGGTAAGTAGGTGACAATGCTGATCGAAGTTAGACATTAACACCGTTTGATATGGGCTTAGTGGTCCTGAGGTTAGGCGGGTCTTGGGTTCAAATCCTGCGAGGTGCAGGAGTCGTGAATGCTCACTGCTGAAGAGTCCCATATCAGGGCGAAACGGCCGTCCATTGCTTTCAGGTTTCCAATTGTTTTGGAAAATATAGTGAGTAGCAAAAGTTGTGGTCTGTACACTGTTGATGAGTTGTATACCAGGACGAAATCACGGTCTTGTGCTTCCAGGTTTCTTATGTTGGTGATGTAACATGGATCGATTCATGATTTCAGCATAAAGTAACTCAACAATCTTCACAACCCTTTTAATGCAAAAAATGATTATTCACGAAAAAGTCTAATATTTACCTATCCGATATTGAGCACAGTATTCACCATATAAACTTTGTAACTGTGAAATGCAGCATTTTGTTGGTTAACTGTATGTGTAAGTGCATAGTACGCTATCAAAGATGCTCTGAAAGCATTTACATATTGATTTCTCTAATAGTAAACATTAGTACCAAGGACCTAAATATTTGTGCTCAACAAAAATTATCAAGTCTGTAAGTAGGTTATGAAACTGCTCGGACGATCGAGCTGAACCTGGCTGTTTTCCTAGGAGGCCATTCCTCGAGTCGTTGACCAAAAGATGTGTAGTCTACAAGACTGTAGCAACTTCAGGAGATATAGTTTCACGGTTATTTTTGGTGATCAACCATAATTTTATATTGCATTCATTTTTTCAAGATGCTAGAGTCAATGTGGACCATTCGGTTAGAAATGAGGGTTTTCCATCTCACCGACGAGGATCATCTTCACTTACTAACCTGGTTACAGACTTATCTGGATATTCACTTTCGGTCGTCTCACTGTTGTAAACAACAATCTTGCCATGAAAACTCAGTGAGTAGAACTTCCCTGGCAGTGACTATACACGCGTGGCTAATATGAGAGTACTTCAGAGGGAGGAAAGACTTAGCCGACTCTCGGTCTTACCATCGTTGACAGAATATCATTGAACTCAATGAGTGTTTCTTACTAAATTGGCAGATAGGGTAGCACTGCTATCTGATGATGACCTTCAGCGAATTTACGAGGGATCATGAGATAAGACAATCAAAAATAGCCAATCATAATACAGCTTCCGTTCATAAGCTCGAAAATATACGTTAACGATCGAAATATCAAGAATTATAAGTATTAAAATCATTTATATGCTTGCTAGTGCTAAATAACGATTATTTAGGCAGGAAATCTTAGTTTTGTAGTAAGAATAGACTCTGATTGTTAGCTATGTATTTTTTGAATCCTAAATTTTTACCCTAAAACCTTTTAACCCTCTATTACACTGGATCTCAATACTTTTACTTTGAAACTTAGCCCTGGCTCCTAACCTAAACGTACTACCCTTACCAGCTCATTTTGCAAAGTGACTAACATTCACTCCTCTAAGATTATGAAGTATCATGAAAATCATGGGCTGTAGCAACAAGCCGTACACAACAGTGCTTTCATTTCAATCACTTGAGACATTCTCCCAAATTGGAACACAGTTTAACTGGAAATAGATTATATTCCAATAACAAGGTTAGATGGAAGACAGAAGGTCCAAAGGGAAAAGACGTTAGTCTATAGATAGTTTTCTTACATGAGAAAATTCTAGAATGTTCCCTCAGTATCGACTAGCGTTGATTGGATACAAAAGAGCCAATCAGCGTGCAACAACGCAATCATGCTTTAATCCAATCTATGTCCCACTACCAATCATAAAGCACATGTGATATGTTCGAATATGTAGGCTACATAATTTTTTAAAATCTAAAAATGTCGTAACAAATCACCACCTTTGTTTGTTTGTTTTAACACAACATTTATGTCTGTTGATCACAATCTGATAAGGCGCATATATTAAAAAAATTCACTATCTAAAGCGTCATATGGTACAAAACAAACACACAATCCAATAAATCGCGGTAGCCAGCAGCATACATTGAGTCATTCAGTCATTTACAACGTACGACTTCGCACGTACGTACGTCCATCAGTTCAATTTGTCATATCTAATTAGCTCAGAGATACAATCATCAACTCAAACGCCGTAGTAGTAGAGGTAGTAGAAGTATTAGCAATCATTGGAGAGATCAGGGTTCGAAGATATGTTTCGAGAAGTATAATTCAGTAAAATTAACTTAAAAAGAGAAAGATAAAGGTGATGAGGAATTCAGAGGATTAGAACTTGAGAGAACCCAAAGAATGGATGCACCTGCGCCACTGGTCTCTCATCAATATGCGTTGAATTGGGAAACTTGTTGAGAGAGAGAATTGTAAACTGTACTAAAAATGTAATACTTGAATAAAGCCATTACTGTTACTATCATTAGATATTTTCTGATCAAAGTTTGATTGCAAATAACTGATCATATATCTATCTATATGTACGGACAAATTGATAATTGTATTTGTTTCCCTTTCAAATTAGACAAAAACTCAACGTGAATTACAAATAAAAACTGATGAAGCCAAAGACAAACTGACACATACACAACAATTATTGATTGAAAAAACAAATCAAGTAAGTTTTTTATTGATTGACTGATTGATTTACTTAAAAACTATTTGATTGGTCGTATTGAGAAGACTGAGTCATTTAAAAACGAAAACATTACATTGAATACTCTATTTGCACATTATCTTTGAGTCGTGACTTCCAACACTCTATCCTTCTTCCATTCCTGTTGTTGCTTTCTTTCCTTCCTGTTGGTACTCCATTTACTTCTTGCTTTTGCTCCATTTGCTTTCCGTTTTCCTCTTCTGACCGTGAGACTTCTTCTTCTTTCACGTCCCTTCTTATACTACTTATATCGTTCGTATAAGTAGCACACACCACAGTATAATTAATCAACTTTCATGCTGGTATTATATATTTTAAAAGGAATCAATCACAATATAATAATAACAATAATACTGATAGTATATTTTGAAAATAATAATCCCAGAATTTCTGGGGATAATTGAGTTTCCTGGTGAAATTGTGAATCGATGTACTGATTGATCAAAAGTTTAATGTTAACAATGATGGATGCCGTCTAAGTAGTTTTTTATGCGTTAAATGTTCACGTGCGAAATCCGAAGGTTTTAGGGTTCGAATACAGTAAGTAGAAGAGGTTGTGAATGAACACTGCTGTTAAATGCTATGCTTGAACTAATCAGTTGTCTAATGCTTCCAGGTTTCTAATAGTGGTCTAACCATGATTAAATCACGATTTGGATGCAAAACGACAATCTCTATGATTCTGTAGTGAAAAATTAATACAATATGCTCATTGACGGCTCATTTGGTTAAGAAATTCTCGGAGTCCTATTTAGAAGCAATGACCAGTTGAGTGTAACACTGTCAATTGTAAGCGGTAACGACCGAAGACAATGAACAAGGTTTCAAAAAATTCTTAGAATGATTAAAGTTAGACCATAATTCCGTTGGATGCTGGCTCAATTTTCTAGATGTTTGGATTCGCACACGAGATCCAAAGGTCCTGAGTTCAATTCTAGCGCGAGTGATGGGTCACCATGGATGTGCACTGTTGATGAGTACCATGCCTGAACCAAATGGCCGTCCAGTGCCTCTAGGTTTCGAATGGTTATCTAACATTGATTGATTCATAATTTCAATGAATCAGGATTTTTTTCAGATTTTAGGTATGAGCAGCATAACATAGATAGTAATTTCAAATGTACTGGATCAGTATGTTATCTTCCATAGTTTAAAGTCTTTTCATTTAAAAATTGTTTCGGAAGTACATTTTTTAAAAATACATTACAATATTGCTAGACATTAGTCAGAAACTATTCAATTCCTTTTTAAATTTAACATCGTGATCCTGTATGAATGATGTTCATTAGTTATTATTTTTAGTGTTAAAACGGGCTAAACGTAAACCGACACAATAAACAGACAGACATACACAACTCAAAACTTCGTGCTTAAGTATATCAGTTCAGGTTGCCTTACCGCATCAAAACACAGACGCAACTGTCAGTTCAAATCTCATAGTGGTGGCGAAAATAGAAGTAATAGCAGTAATGGCGAAGAATGAGGTTCGAAGATATGATTCGAGAAGTATAATTCGGTGAGATAAATTTAGAAAGAGAAAAATAGAGATGATGAGGGATTCAGAAGGTTCGAATTTGAGCGAACACAAAGAGTGGATGCACTTGCGTCATTAATAACGATTTTGAGTCATTTCGTTCAAGGTCTCTAACCATTGGTGATTTACGACTCGCCGACTCCTACCAGGCTGCCTAAAACTACCAACATGATTCAGTCCATTTGTCAGTGAAAACTGAACAATGAACGCAATAATTTCAACGATCGGTCAATCAGCTCTAGTATGATTGGATTGCCTGGTTATATTTTATGATTAATTGTTTTGGGTTAGATATTATTTAGACCGGTGTGGTCTTTCATCAAGGTTGATCTTAGTTCAAAGGGCTACAATGGAATTTTCTAATGTTAACACGCAACAAGCAGAATTGATTGTCAACAACTACTGTCAACTTGAAGAACTACTGTAAACGTGAAAGAATTTTACAATACAACCAAACAATAGTGAGTCAGTTGCAACGTAGATATCGGTGTGTGTGTGTGTGTGTGTGAAGTAGCCACATCACACACCCGTAAAGTGTGACTGAGCGAAATGATGCTCAATGAGCTCGTCCTTTGTTTTCAAACAGTTATCAAGCCTAAGTGATAAGTGATGCAATTCGGCAAAAGCGAGTTTAGCTTTCTGTATTGGTGACTAGAATTTCTCAGAGATTACACCATCAGGACTAATGAGACTTTTAAGTGGTCAATGGACCCAACTATTTTACTTTTTATCATCAGTTCAGGTGTCGATGTGAGTCAGTCCTGAAGCAACATTTTCTTGCTCATTTACTTACTAACCTAATTACTCCCTTTTATAAATTTTGATAGAACAGTGAGAAGACGTAATTGATCTGAAAAATGTGATGTATTTGCGCCCTATACATTTCGAACAATCTGGTCACACATATATAAACTTGTCAAGGCATTTTATATGAAGATGAATAAAAGGTCAATTAAATAAAAGTTCAAATAGACATAGGGTGATAATTGTAAATAAAGGAGAGAGAAAATTAACGTAATTTGAAAAGAATAAGAAAGGGTAGGAAAATTGTCACATTACCCTAGGCTTAAAGATTACCAAGGTAAATTCAAGGTTATGACTAATTGTTTCTGCACACATAAGGGGAGTTTTAATTTTCTAATGGCCAAGGCCTCCATAAACCTCAAAATTCGTCCTTCAATATTTCTCTACAATGTTTTGAAGACTGTCTTCATTTAAAATGTCTTGACAAGTAAATATGTGTGACCAGATTGTTCGAAATGTATGAGGCGCAAATACATCACATTTTTCATATCAATTACGTCTTCTCACTGTTCTATCAAAATAACCTAATTACGTCTGTTACCCGCTAAGTGATATGCTTGAATGCTGTCACGATCAATGATTCAGCGACATGATAGGCTACTCTAATTTGATCGTTCGTGGCCACACATTCAAGAGGAAGAAGTCTTGCTAAGATGTAGAGAAATGTATTGCACAAACAACCACAAAGTACGAGGTTAATAAGCACACAATTCAAGTTTATTTAAACAATGATAAAATGCCTTTGGTGAGAGCCGCAAAATAGCATACTTAAATAATCGATCAACCAATGATAGTCAAGCATTTCTGGAGTGAGAATGCAAGCTGAAGGTCAAAATAAGCTTCTTTGGCGCGAAAAAACTGAAATTCGAAATCGCAGAATAAAATGTCAAAATTCTGACATTTTCCCAGTGAGTTCTGGCAATCGAACGTCCCCAACATTAACATAGCAAAGGCCTCCGACCAGCATTTTTCAACATATCATATCCTGAGCCTTATTTTCCAGTTCTATCCAATCGCTGTTCATTCAGTTCATGCCTATGTCAAATCAGTAGTAGTAGTTTCAGTCATGATAGGTCGTATATTCAATGAATATTTAAATTGATCATTGAGTGCGTTTTCTATTAATTCATTTATTTCACAATTTCTTTTTCTTGTTACATTCAATTTTAGCTTGAAAATGCTGTGAATCAATTGAATAATGTACGACAATATTGTTCCGAACTTGAACAACGTATCAATGAAATGTCACAACGTTTAAATATAGCAGAATCACATGTAAATAATTTTTATAAAAAACTTGTTTTCAAAAATTTTTAAATTCTGGTTTATACTTATATATCCATTTACATAGAATAGATAAGATGTACGGAGTAGTGAAATGAAGAACGTGTGTTTCGTCCAATTTTAGACTTGTCACTAAAACTAGATATACCAACATCTGAGTTGATGTTCCCTTCGGGACTCGGCTTTAAATACAATCAAGTTATCTATATTGAGGTACTGATTTCCAACAACCAATCACTTGTGCGAAGGGTATGCAATACAATTCAATTTGAAATGGTTCGAATGATCGCGTTGTTGACTATAATGTTTAACTGATTCTATCATGTTAGACCGAGTGAATTAGTACTTTTAAGTTAAATGCTCTGATAGATCAATGATATGATGGGTACATTGTTAGAAATATTTATTGTAGTGATGATTAAGATGGTGTAACTGATGCTACACCTGTGAAAACGATCGATAGATCTGAAAGACAAAACAACTGCCTAACTGACCAAACAATTGTTATTGTTAGTTTATAAATAATGAGAATATCATTCACTTAATATACTGTAACGATTCCAGTTTAAACAGTGGGTACTTTGTGTAATAAGAGTAGCATGCACAGTAGTGTGATCGAGAAAAGAACTGGAAGAGAGGAAAGCTGTAAAAGACCTCGTACTTTCTAGCAGTTTGTGGAATACATTACTCTACGTCTTATCAAGACTTCTTCATCTAGTTAGTGTGGAAATGGACGATCAGATTAGAGTAGCCTAGCGTGTCGCTGAATCATTGATCTTAGTTCCGGTACCGAGTTAGGTGAACTCGTAATAACATTCAAGCATATCACTTTCGTTGTGACATGAAAGCTGAGAGAAACGTAAGTACATCAGTTTATGTTGCCATATCACATCAGCACAGAGATGTAATTGTCAATTCAAATCCAATAGTAGAAGAGGTAGTAAAAGGTATTAGAAGTAATCAGAGAGGTTAGGATTAGAAGATATTATTCAAGAAGTATGATTCAGTGAGAAAAGTTTAGAAAGTCAAAACTAGAGGTGTTGAAGAATCCAGAAGATTAAAATTTGAGAGAACACAAAGAATAAATGCCCCGGAGCCATTGCGAAAGGTTTTGAGCCATGTCATTCACGGTCTCTAATAATCGATGGTTAGAGACCCTGAATGACATGGCTCAAAACCGTTTTCAATGACGCAGCTGCATTTGGTCTTTATTTTCAATGAAATTCTAGCCTTATGGATTCCTCATCACCTCTCTTTTTCTTTTCCTAAATTTACCTCACTGAATCATACTTCTTGAATAAGAGCTTCGAATTCTAATCTCTCCAATTACTTCTAACACTTTTACTACCTCTAGTACTATGAGATTTGAATTGACAATTATATCTCTGTGCTAATGTGGTATGGCAACATGAACTGATGTACTTACGTGTGAAGTTCTACGTTACATCTGACTGACTGAGAGAACTATTCAAACTGAAACTATTGCAGTTCCATTCAAAACATTTTCTATTCTCGATTAAATGTAAATCTATGGATTTTTTTTAGTAAAATATAAATCATACTACTCTAGTTTGAATTATTTGCCAGTTTTTTCTTTTCATTTTTTTCTCCGTCAGACTCAATTACAAGCTGATGAATTGAAACGTTGTCAACAATTAGAAATTGAATGTAATCAATTACGTAATGAAATAAAGACGAGTAATAGTGAAGTGAGTTGATATGTACTTACATAAATGTAATTGGTTTCATTTCAGTCATATGATACTTATTCACAAAACATATCTGTGTGTTATATGTTTAAATATATATATATATATATATATATATATATATATATATATATATATGAGTCACCACTAAAACAGTCGGTGGTGAGCTACAAACCTAAGCAATGCGTTGTATTATGTATACTAATATGTTGAGCCCACGTGACGTCATGCCACATTGCATTGAGTCACCTCACTTGCCCTCTCAATTTCGATCCACTGTAACTTTATGCCTTGTTTTCTCACGTATGCTCGCATGAATTACTGCTTGAAACCAACTCGTTCAAATGAATTCGTACTGGGTTTCTTATTAGGACCATCCCACAAACTGGGTTCGTCAAAATATGATATATATTTTTTAGCAAGTTAGTTCTCTACGGGATGGGGTCACTAATCCTATTATGCCCGACCCTCCTCCTCTATCCTGCCAATAGCGTTATAATAATTTATATGATGTTAGAAAAAAACCTGAACAATATCCTTTTTTAGCTTCTGGTTGACGTTTATTATCAAGCTAGTTTAAAGATTGACATTAGATTGTTAATCCTATGCTCCAAAGCCTCCTTTTCATCCGGGTTTGTGACTGGCAGTAAGCCAAGAAGGGTTTTAGGAGGAGTTATTCTTTCCCAAAATAATATCCGTTAAGTCAAGTGAAAAATGGAATAAACTCAATTTGTCTTTCATAAAGTATACAACAAATATTAGACAGAACTATTGAAAGTATGAAATTTAAAAATTAAAATCTACCAAACTGCAAATTTACGTCAAAATTACTAAACTACTTTCAAATAAAAAAGTAGTTCGCATTAAAAGATATAAAAGTTTGCTACCAATAACGTGGCTTCATATCACAGATTATTTTTTGTGTGTTTATTTAATCAAGGTCCAAGGTTTACAATTACAGTTAGATCAGCTGAGTAGAGAATATCAAAATCAAGGCAGGAGAATGGAACAAATGACGATTGAACTAAGTACAACACAAGCGAATACAAATCAAATGAAACAAGAATTACAACTATGCAGAGAACGTAACAAAGAACTTGAAAAACAAATTACTGATAGTAATCAAACAATTAGAGAATCCGAGAATGAAACATTGAATATTCTACGTGAAGAATTAAAAGATTCTCAACTGATTAAACAACAACTTGAAGAACAATTAAATTTACTGCAAGATGAATTAAGACAAACACGACAGGAATTGGATGAAAAAATTAGAACTATAGATATGTTAGAAAATACTCATGTAAGTTATGGGCGATTGGTGTTAACAGAGTTCTTTCTTAATTGCAATGAGTTTGTCAATCATAAAAATTCGAAAATATGAGTTATGTAATTTGGCCATTAGCTGAGATTTGAAGTAGTCTATTATCTTTGAAGTAGTTGAGAATGCTAATCAGTAAATGAATAATTTTAATCATAGAGTTTTTGAAGATTGTTGTGTTTCATTGGGATTGTGTATCGATCGATGTTAGACCACCATTAGAAACCTGGAAGCATTGAACAACCGTTTCGTCCTATCTTAGGACTCATCAGCAATGCGCATCCATAAGTCTTGCCTGCGGAGATCGAACCCAGAATCTTTGATCTCGAACATGAACATTGTTGAACTCCACCGGTCAGAACTTTTCACTAGAACTAGGTGGATTTTCTCACGAATTCGGTCAGGAGTGAGGAGATTATACGATTTCCATTACAGAGTTTGAGAATATAGTTTTTTTTCATTGATAGCAAGAATAGTGTGGTCTAACACTTATCGATTCATGATCTCATTCAAATAAATAAGTTATTAATATGACTTGATAGCAAAAACATTGAGATGAATAAAACAAAAGTAAATAGTTCATCTGCATTCAAATGATTATATTCTTTCCGCACCGTAGCTGCTGCCTTGACGTGGTGGTCGGGCTTGCCTATCCTGATGACCCAACCGAGCTATATTGCTTGGCGGAAATATGCGTTCCTGCAGCTACTCAAGATCCGAGGGCGAAGTCGTACTGCTGATTGTAGAGCGGTGTGACATCAGTAAGGTGTTTCCTTCGGACAATCAACATCGGCAGCGATGCAGCCTTATCACAAACAAAGAAGGCTTAGAAAAGATCGACCCCAGAAATGTCACACCTCACCCCACCTCACGGATTTCCGTCTCCGGGGGTAAGGGTAACTACTAAGGGCTTTCAAGAGCGGAGCTTATAC